TCGGTTTTTCAAACCATTCATCACAAGAGTAAGGTCATGAAGATTGGGGAAGGGCGAAGAAGATCACAAACAGAGTACAGCCTAGGGAGCCAAAAACTACAAACCTCACTCAAAGAAAAGGATCTTGGGGTGAGTATAATACCGAGCATATCTCCTGAGTCGCACATCAGCCAAATAACTGCTGCGGCATACGGGCGCCTGACATACCTAAGAATAGCGTTCGGACACCTCAGTAAGGAATCGTTCAAGAATCTGTACACCGTATACGTCAGGCCCACATTGGAATATGCAGCAAAGATTATGCAACAAGACTAGTCCCGGAGCTAAGGGGCATGTCCTATGAGGAGATAGGATAGGGGTCACAATTGGAAGTTGAAGACTCAGATGAGTCACAGGGACGTTAGGAAGTATTTCTTAAGCCATAGAATTGTCAGGAAGTAGAGCAGGCTGGAGTGATGCAATGGAGGCAGGATTCATACATAGCTAAGAGGTATGATAAAGCTCATGGAGCAGGGAGAGAGTGGACCTAGTAACGACCAGCATCAACTGGCAGACATACTCTCACAGCCGGTGGAGAAGACTATCTGGAAGACAATAGTGAATCAGTAAGAGAAAAATAGTCCGATAAAGAATAACGGACACGGGTTTAGAGATGCCTTATAAACCTGCTGAAATTCTGCGGCAAAATAACAGACGTGAGGAAAGAGAGAGGGTGGTGGGTGGACTGCATGTTCTTGAACTGCAAGAAGGCCTTTGATGCTGTACCTCACATGAGATGTTTGGCCAAAACTAGAAGAGCAGCCAAGAATAACTGGAACCAGCAGTGACTGCTCCAGAAGTGATATAGGAATTTACAAGTGTAACAAATGAAGTTGCACAAGAATTGGTATTAAATCCTGAGCTGTTTCTGACATCTGTGAACGGTATATCAGACGAGACAGAGAGACAGATGTATCTCTGGGTATCTTTACTGTAGAAACGTTTCGCCACACAGTGGTTTCATCAGTCTAATACAAAGTAGAATGGTGAAGATCAGGAGTTTGTGGTAATCAGTCCCTCAGTGTGGAGTCGATGTAACAATCCATTTATCTACAATTTATGAGAAAAATACAAATCGGTGAGGACAAAAAATGCCGACAAATGAACTTGAAGAAACTAAAGGAAGTGAACCTGACAGCCCTGAAAGTGAGAACGTCAGGGGAGACATGATTCTGACGTATAAAATAGAGGAATTAATAAGACTGGTAACGACAGTTTTTGTGCATTGCGAAGATAAGTATAAGAAGATAAGATAAGGTAAGATAAGATAAGATAAGTATAAGAAGATAAGATAGAAGTTAAAACTCGCACGATTCGCCGAGATTTTAGGAAATACTTTTTCAGCCTCAGAATAAGTAGAAAAGTAGAAGTTAATGGATGTGGAGACTGTGGACGCAGATTCTATATGTTGTTTTAAGAGTAGGTATGACAGGAATCAAGAGGCCAGAAACTAGTAATGCTGATCGTTGACTCTAAAGAGGCAGGACCAGGAGCTAGGACTCGAACTCACAAATATAAACTGGTGAGTACAAATTGGTGAATACACACACCCATAAACTGTCTCTCTCTTCTCTCTCTCTCTCTATCTATATATATATATATATATATATATATATATATATATATATATATATATATATATATATATATTATATATATATATATATATATATATATATATATATATATATATATATAGGTAGTAGGTTGGTAGACAGCAACCACCCAGGGAAGTACTACCGTCCTGCCAGATGACTGTGAAACAAAAACCTGTAACTGTTTTGCATGATGGTAGGATTGCTGGTTTCTTTTTCTGTCTCATAAACACGCTAAGATAACAGGGATATCTTGCTACTCCTACTTACACTTTGGTCACACTTCACAGACACGCACATGCATATATATATATACATACATCTAGGTTTTTCTCCTTTTTCTAAATAGCTCTTGTTCTTTTTTATTTCTTCTATTGTCCATGGGGAAGTGGAAAAGAATCTTTCCTCCGTAAGCCATGCGTGTCGTATGAGGCGACTAAAATGCCGGGAGCAATGGGCTAGTAACCCCTTCTCCTGTATACAATTACTAAAAAAGAGAAGAAGAAAAACTTTATAAAACTGGGTTGCTTAAATGTGCGTGGATGTAGTGCGGATGACAAGAAACAGATGATTGCTGATGTTATGAATGAAAAGAAGTTGGATGTCCTGGCCCTAAGCGAAACAAAGCTGAAGGGGGTAGGAGAGTTTCAGTGGGGGGAAATAAATGGGATTAAATCTGGAGTATCTGAGAGAGTTAGAGCAAAGGAAGGGTAGCAGTAATGTTAAATGATCAGTTATGGAAGAGAAAAGAGAATATGAATGTGTAAATTCAAGAATTATGTGGATTAAAGTAAAGGTTGGATGCGAGAAGTGGGTCATAATAAGCGTGTATGCACCTGGAGAAGAGAGGAATGCAGAGGAGAGAGAGAGATTTTGGGAGATGTTAAGTGAATGTATAGGAGCCTTTGAACCAAGTGAGAGAGTAATTGTGGTAGGGGACTTGAATGCTAAAGTGGGAGAAACTTTTAGAGAGGGTGTGGTAGGTAAGTTTGGGGTGCCAGGTGTAAATGATAATGGAGCCCTTTGATTGAACTTTGTATAGAAAGGGGTTTAGTTATAGGTAATACATATTTTAAGAAAAAGAGGATAAATAAGTATACACGATATGATGTAGGGCGAAATGACAGTAGTTTGTTGGATTATGTATTGGTAGATAAAAGACTGTTGAGTAGACTTCAGGATGTACATGTTTATAGAGGGGCCACAGATATATCAGATCACTTTCTAGTTGTAGCTACACTGAGAGTAAAAGGTAGATGGGATACAAGGAGAATAGAAGCATCAGGGAAGAGAGAGGTGAAGGTTTATAAACTAAAAGAGGAGGCAGTTAGGGTAAGATATAAAACAGCTATTGGAGGATAGATGGGCTAATGAGAGCATAGGCAATGGGTCGAAGAGGTATGGGGTAGGTTTAAAAAATGTAGTGTTAGAGTGTTCAGCAGAAGTTTGTGGTTACAGGAAAGTGGGTGCAGGAGGGAAGAGGAGCGATTGGTGGAATGATGATGTAAAGAGAGTAGTAAGGAGAAAAAGTTAGCATATGAGAAGTTTTTACAAAGTAGAAGTGATGCAAGGAGGGAAGAGTATATGGAGAAAAAGAGAGAAGTTAAGAGAGTGGTGAAGCAATGTAAAAAGAGAGCAAATGAGAGAGTGGGTGAGATGTTATCAACAAATGTTGTTGAAAATAAGAAAAAGTTTTGGAGTGAGATTAACAAGTTAAGAAAGCCTAGAGAACAAATGGATTTGTCAGTTAAAAATAGGAGAGGAGAGTTATTAAATGGAGAGTTAGAGGTATTGGGAAGATGGAAGGAATATTTTGAGGAATTGTTAAATGTTGATGAAGATAGGGAAGCTGTGATTTCGTGTATAGGGCAAGGAGGAATAACATCTTGTAGGAGTGAGGAAGAGCCAGTTGTGAGTGTGGGGGAAGTTCGTGAGGCAGTAGGTAAAATGAAAGGGGGTAAGGCAGCCGGGATTGATGGGATAAAGATAGAAATGTTAAAAGCAGGTGGGGATATAGTTTTGGAGTGGTTGGTGCAATTATTTAAATAAATGTATGGAAGAGGGTAAGGTACCTAGGGATTGGCAGAGAGCATGCATAGTTCCTTTGTATAAAGGCAAAGGGGATAAAAGAGAGTGCAAAAATTATAGGGGGATAAGTCTGTTGAGTGTACCTGGTAAAGTGTATGGTAGAGTTATAATTGAAAGAATTAAGAGTAAGACGGAGAATAGGATAGCAGATGAACAAGGAGGCTTTAGGAAAGGTAGGGGGTGTGTGGACCAGGTGTTTACAGTGAAACATATAAGTGAACAGTATTTAGATAAGGCTAAAGAGGTCTTTGTGGCATTTATGGATTTGGAAAAGGCGTATGACAGAGTGGATAGGGGGGCAATGTGGCAGATGTTGCAAGTGTATGGTGTAGGAGGTAGGTTACTGAAAGCAGTGAAGAGTTTTTACGAGGATAGTGAGGCTCAAGTTAGAGTATGTAGGAAAGAGGGAAATTTTTTCCCAGTAAAAGTAGGCCTTAGACAAGGATGTGTGATGTCACCGTGGTTGTTTAATATATTTATAGATGGGTTGTAAGAGAAGTAAATGCGAGGGTCTTGGCAAGAGGCGTGGAGTTAAAAGATAAAGAATCACACACAAAGTGGGAGTTGTCACAGCTGCTCTTTGCTGATGACACTGTGCTCTTGGAGATTCTGAAGAGAAGTTGCAGAGATTGGTGGATGAATTTGGTTGGGTGTGCAAAAGAAGAAAATTAAAGGTGAATACAGGAAAGAGTAAGGTTATGAGGATTAACAAAAAGATTAGGTGATGAAAGATTGAATATCAGATTGGAGGGAGAGAGTATGGAGGAGGTGAACGTATTCAGATATTTGGGAGTGGACGTGTCAGCGGATGGGTCTATGAAAGATGAGGTGAATCATAGAATTGATGAGGAAAAAGAGTGAGTGGTGCACTTAGGAGTCTGTGGAGACAAAGAACTTTGTCCTTGGAGGCAAAGAGGGGAATGTATGAGAGTATAGTTTTACCAACGCTCTTATATGGGGTGAAGCGTGGGTGATGAAATGTTGCAGCGAGGAGAGGCTGGAGGCAGTGGAGATGTCATGTCTGAGGGCAATGTGTGGTGTGAATATAATGCAGAGAATTCGTAGTTTGGAAGTTAGGAGGAGGTGCGGGATTACCAAAACTGTTTGTCCAGAGGGCTGAGGAAGGGTTGTTGAGGTGGTTCGGACATGTAGAGAGAATGGAGCGAAACAGAATGACTTCAAGAGTGTATCAGTCTGTAGTGGAAGGAAGGCGGGGTAGGGGTCGGCCTAGGAAGGGTTGGAGGAGGGGGTAAAGGAGGTTTTGTGTGCGAAGGGCTTGGACTTCCAGCAGGCATGCGTGAGCGTGTTTAATAGGAGTGAATGGAGACAAATGGTTTTTAATACTTGACGTGCTGTTGGAGTGTGAGCAAAGTAACATTTATGAAGGGATTCAGGGAAACCGGCAGGCCGGACTTGAGTCCTGGAGATGGGAAGTACAGTGCCTGCACTCTGAAGGAGGGGTGTTAATGTTGCAATTTAAAAACTGTAGTGTAAAGCACCCTTCTGGCAAGACAGTGATGGAGTGAATGATGGTGAAAGTTTTTCTTTTTCGGGCCACCCTGCCTTGGTGGGAATCGGCCGGTGTGATAATAAAAAAAAAAAAAAATATATATATATATATATAGAGGTTAAGGATTCCTAACTTTATTGACAAGCTAAGAGCTGTTACGTGCATTAGCTCATTCATCAGCTCTATCTCTCTCTCTCTCTCTCTCTCTCTCTCTCTCTCTCTCTCTCTCTCTCTCTCTCTCTCTCTCTCTCTCTCTCTCTCTCTCTCTCACCTGGAGACAGAAGGACTGACGGTCAGTGTCGTCAGCAGTAGAGACAGTTTCCAGGAGGACGTCGTATATGTAGACAGCCAGTAGACCGTAGTGGACCATCCTGCAACACACCACCAACATTCTGACACATAACTGGCTCAGAGAACACACAGCCTGATGAATTACACACATGTGCAACACTTGGGTATCATTATTGTGGCAACGCTTCGCCAGCCAGTGGCTTCGCCAGTCCAATACGGAGAACAGCAGTTGAAGATCAAAAGGAGTCAGTGTAATCATTCCATCAACATCGACTCCAGGCTCAGGGACTGATAACTTCACACTTCCTCTGATATTCAACTATCCGGGTCTAGGGATATTCACAGGTGTAGGGATATTCATGGGTCTAGGGATATACACGTGTCTAGGGGATATTCACGGGTCTAAGGATATTCTTCAGCCTGACTAATCATGTGAAAGACACATCAGACAAAAATCTTCACACCTTCTGAGGTAAGAAGACGTGTTTACAACCCCCTGAGTCCACACGGTAAACAATAAAAAGTCACAATATCATGACTACAACACTACAAATAACTATCACTAAGGAGAAGCACCTGGGATGGAGTTTCTGCCCTTCCTGGGCCATTGTCAAGTCACGAGTGAGGCGAGGAGAAAGCCGAAAGACATTATGCTTCGATTTATGCTTCTTCAGCTTCCTTTGTCGCTGTGGCCGGGGAAGTAGCTCTGGATATCAGATTACTGTAGCCTCCTCTGGACGAGGTTGCTGCTCAGTGGTGAAGGCTTTATTTGATGCTGGAAGCTGGACAACCAGGGTTTTCCATGCTGCCCTGACACAGCGGAGCATCTCCGGTCTTTTCAAATTTCAGGCATGATGCTTCATGCGGCAATTCAGACACTGAGGCCCATAGCTTCACCTTCCTTCAGTTTACCCATGCAGCCCTTCGTCGGGTGAGACCCACTACAGATGCCACATATTTTCTTAAGCTGACATCGGGTGCTGAGGTCGTTGAACCTGTGGCACCTGAAGCACCTCAGACGCTCTGGGTTGTACGTCCTAACCTGGTATTTTCCCCAGCAACCGAGATCCAGTTGAGCTGGGAGAGGTCCTGTATGTTGGATCAAGAGCTGCCTCGTTGGTACGTTGCCGTCTTTCTTGGCTCCGAGCTGTTCATCTTTCATGATGCTTTTGTTACTGTGGATTGCATTGAAAGACATGTCTAGCGGATAGCCTATTAATACGCCTTTTGTCATCTTCTCTATGGGTTTTAGTCCTGTGAGAACGAGTGGTGATTCGAGGTCATTCATCTTCTGCAGTACCTCATAGGACTGTTTCAGAAAGTGAGAATAAGCTCTCCTTTCATGTTTGGAGACACTGATATCTTCAGGCCGTATTTTCTCTCCAGGTGAATTATAGCAGCATCCGGGGTGTCATGGTGTCCTTTGTTGATGCCTATGGATAGTTTAGCTTGACTGATCTGCAAGAAACACTATGCCTCCCCTTGGACGTTGAAGATCATACTTCCTACCAACCATCGCCATATGGTATTTCTGTGGTAGGGATGAGCATTTCTTCATCCATCGTTATCTCACTGGTCAGGCTGGTTTCACTTGCTTCACTGTCCCATGAGTCCAGTGAGGGGTCTCGCAGCTTCGCCAGAACTGCGCCTCACATTTCTAAATCGGACACCTGAGTTATGTCCCGGGAACATCATGTCCTCTTCCTTTCGGAGGAAGACATGTGCTTATACAAATACAAATTTTTATTTCCTTGCAAGTTTACATTGAGATTATGCAATTACAATAATTAGTTGCAGTACAAAGAGCCACTATCATGCCCTGGCATAATGGACAAATTTAATGGCGTATAGACTACTTAATACTAGAGAAATTTATCATAATTTTTTTCAGTTGTACATCTGTTTCTATTTATAGCAGACAGTAAGTTTACTCAAATTACATTAAGGGAATATAACATTGAGCGTTGTTGATAGTTTACAGTATGAGAATGCTACAATTAGGTGTAAGGCAGTATTGTTTTGGGCAGGTATTTATACTACAGTGTAGTATTAAGTAATGTATGAACTTTGGGTATCTAATTTTGAAGTGTTTAGATTTAGGTAATTGGGAGATTTTTTGGTAAAGTTAAGTATTGAATAAATTGATGTTCAGACCGGGTTACTTTAGTATTTACTGGTAATGAATTCCAAATTTTGGGACCATTTATGTGCATAGAGTTCTTACACAATGTGATATGGACTCGGGGTACATCAAAAAGAGATCTGTGTCTTGTGTTATGGTAGTGCGTCTTGTTAAGGTTGGTAAGGAAAAGTTTGAGTGGAGGGTTTATGTTTGAGTGTAGTGTTCTATGTATGTAGTAGGCACATGAATAAGTGTGGATGTTCTTTATGGTGAGTAGTTTTAGACTTTTGAATATTGGTGGAGTATGCTGTCTGGAGTGGGAATTTGTTATCATTCTGATTGCAGCCTTTGGCTGGGTTATTAGTGATCTTGGGTGATTTAATGTTGTTGATCCCAATGCACAAGTTCCATATGTGAGTTAAGGGTAGATGAATGAATGGCACAGTGCCAGGAGAGCTGATTGTGGAACATAGTACTGTATCTTTGATAGTATGCCTACTGCCTTAGAGATTTTCTTGCAAATTTGTTGTATATGTGTTTGGAATTTGAGGCTACTGTCAAGGTGGAGTCCTAGGAGTTTTCCCTCTGTGAGTCTTGTGATAGGTGATCTGTTTAGCATTTTGTTAAGTGGAACATTTGCAGCTCTGTTTCCAAACTGAATGAAAAAAATTTTGTCAGTATTTTGTCAGCCTTAACAGTGTTGGCCAGTATGACTGAGTTTGGGTGAGAGAAGACGTATGTTGTGTCATCTGCAAATAGTATGGGTTTGAGTAGTTGTGATGCATTCGGTAGGTCACTGATGTAAATGAGAAAGAGGAGTGGTCCAAGGACACTTCCTTGTGGGACCCCAACTGTAAGAGTGGAAGATTTAGCTCCATTTGTGTACACATATTGGCTTCTCTTACTAAGGTATGACTTTATGTAGTTGGGGGAGTACCCTCCTATACCATAGTGTGTTAATTTAATGTGCAGCAAATCATGGTAGACTTTATCAAAAGCTTTACGTAAATCAATGAAGATTCCCAGTGGGACTTCTTTCTTCTTGAGAGTGGTGTATATTAGTTCTATCATGTGTATAATAGCATCATTTGTGCTTTTATTATTCCTGAATCCAAAATGACAGGGGTTTAGTATATTGTGTGAGACAAGGTAGAAGTAGATCTGTCTTTGAATTAATTTTTCAAAGATTTTAGAGAGCAGAGGTAGGTTAGATATTGGTCTAAAGTTATTCAAGTCTGTTTGATCTCCTCCTTTGTAAATCGGGGTGACCCATCACTATTTTGAGAACTGCTGGGAAGGTGGAGGATTGAATGGATTTGTTAAAGAGTGTTGCAGTAATTGGTGACAGGACTTGTGAAGCATTTTTGTACATAAAAGGTGGTAAGTTATTAATGTCTTTTGCCTTGTTTTTTAACGGTGCTGTTGATGACCGAGACTTGAGCTGGGTTGGTTGGAGCTAGGAATAGTGTATGTTCACCCCACACTCCCATATTCACCCCACACTCCCATATTCACCCACACTCCCATATTCACCCCACACTCCCATATTCACCCCACACTCCCATATTCACCCCACACTCCCATATTCACCCCACACTCCCATGTTCACCCCACACTCCCATATTCACCCCCACACTCCCATATTCACCCCACACTCCCATGTTCACCGGACACACCCCACATTCACCCCACTTTCACCCCGCATTCACCCCACATTCACCCCGCATTCACCCCACATTCATCCCACATTCACCCCACACCCCCACATTCACCCCACACACCCCACATTCTCCCCACATTCACCCCACACACCCCACATTCACCCCACACACCCCACATTCACCCCACACACCCCACATTCACCCCACACACCCTACATTCACCCAACACACCCCACATTCTCCCCACACACTCCACATTCACCCAACACACCCCACATTCTCCCCCACACCCCAACACACCCCACAGTCACCCCACACACCCCACATTCACGCCGCGCACCCCACATTCGCCCTACACCCCCACATTCACCCAACACACCGCACATTCTCCCCACACCCCAACACACCCCACAGTCACTCCACATCCTGACATTCACCCCATGCCCCCATATTCACCCCACACTCCCATATTCACCCCACACTCCCATATTCACCCTCACACCACCTATTCACCCCACGGATTCCCACATTCCTGCCACGAACCCCACACCTCGCTGAAGAAGACTTACCATGGGTCAAGATCATGGATGAGGTTACAGAGGTTAGCCAGATACTCTGGGTAATACACGTAGATGTTATCCTCCTCCGTCAGCTGCTTCTGGAAGAGTTCCTCCAACAGATACTGCCACTCGACCTGAGGAAGACCAGTAGGTAGAGACTAGATAGCAGGTAGAGACCAGGTAGCAAGTAGAGACTAGATAGCAGGTAGAGACCAGGTAGCAGGTGGAGACCAGACATCAGGAAAAGACCAGGAAGCAGGTAGAGACCAGATAGCAGGTAGAGACCAGGCAGCAAGTAGAGACCAGATAGCAGGTAGAGACCAGGCACCAGGCAGAAACAAGGCAGCATGTAGAGACCAAGCAGCAGATAGAGACCAGATAGCAGGTAGAGACTCTGTAGCATGTAGAGACCAGGTAGTAGAAAGAGACCAGGTAGCAGGTAGAGACCAGGAAACAAATAGAGACAAGATAGCAGGTAGAGGCCAGGTAGCATGTAGAGAGCAGGTAGCAAGTAGAGACCAGGTAGCAGGTACAGACCAGGCAACAGGTAGAGACCAGATAGCAGGTACAGACGAGGTATCAGGTAGGGACCAGGTAGCAGGTACAGACCAGGTAACAGGCAGAGACAAGATGGCAGGTAGAGACAAGGTAGCAGGTCGTATGATACAGGTACTATGATACAGGTAGTGTGATACAGGTAGTATGATACACGTAGTATGATACAGGTAGTGTGATACAAGTAGTATGATACAGGTAGTGTGATACAGGAAGTATGATACACGTAGTATGATACAGGTAGTGTGATACAGGTAGTGTGATACAGGTAGTGTGATACAGGTAGTGTGATACAGGTAGTATGATACAGGTAGTGTGATACAGGTAGTATCATACAGATAGTATGATACAGATAGTGTGATACAGGTAGTATCATACAGATAGTGTGATACAGGTAGTGTGATACAGGTAGTGTGATACAGGTAGTATCATACAGGTAGTGTGATACAGGTAGTGTGATACAGGTAGTATGATACACGTAGTATGATACAGGTAGTGTGATACAGGTAGTGTGATACAGGTAGTATGATACAGGTAGTGTGATACAGGAAGTATGATACACGTAGTATGATACAGGTAGTGTGATACAGGCAGTATGATACAGGTAGTGTGATACAGGTGTGATACAGGTAGTATGATACAGGTAGTGTGATACAAGTAGTATCATACAGATAGTATGATAGATAGTGTGATACAGGTAGTATCATACAGATAGTGTGATACAGGTAGTGTGATACAGGTAGTGTGATACAGGTAGTATCATACACGTAGTGTGATACAGGTAGTGTGATACAGGTAGTGTGATACAGGTAGTATGATACAGGTAGTGTGATACAGGTAGTGTAATACAGGTAGTGTGATACAGGTAGTATGATACAGGTAGTATGATACAGGTAGTATGATACAGGTGGTGTGATACAGGTAGTATGATACAGGTAGTATGATACAGGTAGTGATACAGGTAGTATGATACAGGCGGTGTGATACAGGTAGTATGATACAGGTAGTATGATACGTGTAGTATGATACAGGTAGTGTGATACACGTAGTGTGATACAGGTAGTATGACATAGGTAGTATGATACAAGTAGTATGATACAGGTGGTGTGATACAGGTAGTATGATACAGGTAGTGTGATACAGGTAGTGTGATACAGGTGGTGTGATACAGGTAGTGTGATACAGGTGGTGTGATACAGGTAGTGTGATACAGGTGGTGTGATACAGGTGGTGTGATACAGGTAGTGTGATACAGGTAGCGTGAACAGGTGTGTGATACGTTAGTATGATAAGTGGTTGGGTACAGGTGGTGTGATACGGTCGTGATACAGGGGCGGATACAGGGGGTGGAACAGGGGATTGAAAGTGGTGGTAAGGGGGTGTATAAAAGGTGGGGTGATATGGGGTGTGAACAGGGAGTGATACGGGGGTGTGATACAGGGAGTTATGGAAAAATAAAAACATATGCGTTTAAAGTATCCTTTATTGACAACGTTTCGCCCACGTGGGTTTTTTAAATACAAACTTACCTGGGGTGGGAAAGGGTTCTGAGTATTTTATAGTCAGGGTTCGAATGTTAGGGCAGGTGGGGAAGGATCTGAGACCCTGGGGGGGGGTTATAGAGTCCCTTGGGGAGCTGGCAGGGGATTTGGCCAATTGTGAGTGACCTTGCATTGAAGATTGAGACACTTATCAGCATATTTAATTTTTTTATTCAGGAAAAGTTTCGCCACACAGTGGCTTCATCATCCCAAAAAAAAGAGGAAGCGTAAGGAAGGAGGGGTATGAGGTAACTTCCCAGCCAAGTCGATGTTTTCGTCCCACAAACTTGTAGAATGTACACATAGGTCGAGACGTGGCTTATTTCTGAGGGGGTGATTGAAAACAACGGGGGGCGGGTAAGTGGGATCATCCACTAGTCGAATAGGTCTTTGTCCAAAGGTTTAACAAACGTTGAAAATTCTTTTTAAGAAGATCCCTACGCGTGCGACAGTTGTGATGAATTTTTTAAAAACCCACAAGTTGAAATTGAGCACTTTCAGCTATGGAAACTTTATTTAGGAAACTTTTGCCCCATGGCTTTATCAGTAATACAAAAGGAAGGGGGTAAGGAGGAGGGAGTATGAGGTAATCATCCCTCAGCCTAAGCGAGTTTAGTCCATCAATCTTGTAAATTTACAGCAAGGGGCCCTAGACGTGGGTTTTATACGTAGTGGGTGACTTGAAGCAGACGGGGGCGGGTCAAGTGGTATCATCCACTAGTCGAATAGGTTTTGTCCAAAGGGTTAACAAGCGTTGAAAATTCTTTGTAAAAAGATCCCATGTGCTGCAGTGCGACAGTTGTGATGAATGGTTTGAAAAACCGACAAGTTGAAAATTGAGACATTATCAGCATAGGGTCTTTTTTTCAGGGAAAAGTTTCGCCCACAGGGTTTTCCAAACAAAAAACAAAAAATTTAAAATCCTCCTACCAACCACATCCCACAATCAAATTCAAAAAACAACTCATTTTAAAAAAAACAACACCATCAATTTACCACCAAAGGCTTTTCCCCCAAAACAAACCCCAAAAAAAAATATTACCATGGACAATTTTTAATTTAAAAAGCAATTTTGGCCTTTCGTATGGGGGAAAAACCCAAACCCCCCCAATCCCCCAAAAAAAAACCAAAAAAGGGGAAACCCTCACCCGGTCGAGTGTTCGCCCCCCAACTTGAAATGTACGCATAGGGGGTAGAGTGGCTTATATCGTAGTGAGGGGACTTGAAGGGGCGGGGGCGGGTCATAGTGGATCATCCCCTAGCGAAAAAAGGCTTTGTCCAAAGGTTGAACAAACGTTGAAAAAATTTTTTGTAAGAAGAACCCATAGCTGCGTGTCTGAAAGTTTTGGAGAATGGTTTGAAAAACGACAATTGAAGATTGAGACACTTTTCAGCAATGGGAATCTTTATTTGGAAACGTTCGCCACACATGGCTTTACATCCAAAACAAAGAGGAAGGCGTAAGGGGGGAGGGTATGAGGTAAACAGTCCCCCAGCCCAGAGTCGATGTGTTCTCCATCAACTTTAGAAGTACACAAGGGCTAGAGGCTTTTATACTATGAGGGGACTTAAGAGACGGGGGGATCATAGTGGTATCATCCCCTATCGAATAGGTCTTTTTTCCAAAAAGGTTAACAAGCGTTGAAAATTCTTTGTAAGAAATCCCATGATGCGCAGTGTCTGCAGTTTTGGGGAATGGTTTTTAAAAACCCACAAGTTGAAGATTGAGAACTTTTGCAGCATATGGAATCTTTATTCAGGAAACTTTGCCACCAGTGGGGTTTATCAGTCCAATACAAAGAGGAAAAAGGGTAAGGAGAGGGGGAGTATGAGGAATCAGTCCCCCCCCTAATCGATGTGTTTAGTCCCTCAATTTGAGAATGACGCTAGGGGCGTAATGGTTATATACGTGGAGGTGACTTGAAGCGACGGGGGCGGGGTCAAGGGTATCATCCCCCTAGTCAAGTAGGGCTTTGTCCCAAAAGGGTTTAAAAACGTTGAAGAATTCTTTGTAAAGATCCCTGAGCTGCAGGTTGCAGTTTTTGGGTGAAAGGTTTTTAAAAACCCAAATTAAGATTGAAACCTTATCAGCATAGGGAATTTTTTTCAGGAAACGTTTCGCCACACAGTGGCTTCATCGTCCATACAAGGGAAGGCGAAGGAAGGAGGAGTATGAGGTAATCAGTCCTCAGCCTAGAGTCGATGTGCTTCAAGTCACCTCACTACAGTATATAAGCCACGTCTACGACCCTATGCTGTACATTCTACAAGATTGATGGACTGAACACATCGACTCTAGGCTGAGGGATGATTACCTCATACTCCTCCTCTCCTTACGCCTCCTCTTTGTATTGACTGATGAAGCACTGTGTGGCGAAACGTTTCCTGAATAAAGATTCCTATATGCTGCATAAGTGTCTCAATCTTCAACTTGTCGGTTTTTCAAACCATTCATCACAACGTCAGACACTGCAGCATCATGGGATCTTCTTACAAAGAATCTTCAACGTTTGTCAACCTTTGGAAAAGACCTACTTCGACTAGTGGATGATACCACTATGATCCCGCCTCCGTCTGCTTCAAGTCACCTCACTACAGTATATAAGCCACGTCTACGACCCTATGCTGTACATTCTACAAGATTGATGGACTGAACACATCGACTCTAGGCTGAGGGACTGATTACCTCATACTCCTCCTCTCCTTACGCCTTCCTCTTTGTATTGGACTGATGAAGCCACTGTGTGGCGAAACGTTTCCTGAATAAAGATTCCCATATGCTGCATAAGTGTCTCAATCTTCAACTTGTCGGTTTTTCAAACCATTTCACAACTGTCAGACACTGCAGCATCATGGGATCTTCTTACAAAGAATTCTTCAACGCTTGTTCAACCTTTGGACAAAGACCTACTTCGACTAGTGGATGATACCACTATGATCCCGCCTCCGTCTGCTTCAAGTCACCTCACTACAGTATATAAGCCACGTCTACGACCCTATGCTGTACATTCTACAAGATTGATGGACTGAACACATCG